TTTTAGTTTATATTTCCTCTCTTTCATAATTCGTATCATTTTAACTTTATACAAACGGATTAAGAAAATAAATAATTTTGTATATTCTCTCCGTTTCAATATAATTCATGTTTTAGTGAAAATAATTTGTTTCAAAAAGATACATATTTCACATTTTCAATGCATACTTTAATGTTAAATTGTAAATTTCAAAACATTTATTAAATCCTATTGGTTAAAATTTATGGGAAATAGTACATTAAAAAAATAATACATTAGTAATTTAAAATTTATAAATTTTCTTAATATGTGTAAAAATACTAAAACATGCATCTTATTGAAACGAAGGAAGTATGTTTTATATAAAAACAATTATCTATACAACTAAACATATTTTAATCAATAAAAAAATAAATTACATACATTTAATAAATTTTTTATTGTAAATCAAAAATGATATTTATTTTGTAACTATTTTTTGACAAGTAATATGAAACATAATGAATAGAAAACAGAATTAATTGCATACATGAAAAATGATATTAAGAGACTCACATGGAATGAAGCAGCAGTAATGTTAAGAGCATCTCCATTAAAGGTTTATAGGGGAGTTCACCCCTTTCCCAAGAAAAAAAAATTAAAATAATATTATTTTGGTGAACCTCTATCAGAAAAGTTCAGGGCAGTGAACCTGATTTACATGGGGTTCGCCACGTGGCGACACCTCATTGGTCAGAAACTTTTTTTTAAAAAAAAAAATCATTTTTTTTTGGTGAACCCCCATGGAGTTCACCAATGTGGATGCTCTAACAATAAATGTTATTAACATCCAATTTTCCACACAACAAACTCTTTTTAACAATAAATGTGTCAATGGGAAACACACACAAGTCAAAACAACTCTTCTTTTGTTTGTTTTTTCTCCCATTATAGCCAGCAAAACTCATACATTAATTATTAGTTGATGGATTCTAGTCTCTTTCCTTTTACATTATTTGATTTAGATTTTTTGTTGCTAATATATATACACATATATGTGTATATTATAGACATATATTTTCTTAGTAGTATGTGTATTCCTTTACATTATATAAACAATGTGTGCATTCCTTTACATTATTTGATTTAGATTTTTTTTTGCTAATATATATATATACACATATTACTAAGTTTGTTCAAGTACATATATGTTAAGCTTTTAGTTATAAGAAAATAGTTATGTGCCACGTACTATTCAGCTTGGATCCCCCCCTGGATGCACACTTTGTTTCATCACTTTCTTGACTCTTCGAATTGGGAGCTGTGTTTGCCTATTTGAGAGTCATTATAGGCCGAATTGGACCTAGTTTAAATGTTACTGGGCTTTAGGATTCAGAATATAACTTTTTGAGGACATCATTTCTACTTAATGTTATTAGGCCCAACTCTCTACTTCTTGTCTTAGAGCTGGTAATGTTTGGTTATTGTGTGACCAAGACTGCAAGTTCCATTAAAAAGAGACCCAATTCCCTTAAAACTACAAAAACTTAACTGACGAGTTTTGTAAACATGAGTTATGTCTTCATAATTCATTTTTGACATTTGTTTATAATAATTAATTAATTACTAGTATAAATGATGGATGTTCTAGGCAGAGCCGGTCCTAGTAATAATGAGGCTAGAAGCTAAAATAAAAGATGTGGTTGGTGCTCTTCAAACTCACGACCTGTAACATATGTAACCTTAAACCAACCACTTTACTACTGAGAACTTTCTATTTAAATGTGGCCATTTTAAACCATAATATTTGGTGGCCGGAAACATATGTTTCATTGGCTTCCTTCTAGGGCCGGCTCTGGTTCTAGGATGTTTAATCATTATTTAAGTCTTTGATCATTAAGCTTTAGAGAAAAATAATAAACATAGTTGACATTTTGACAAAATAGCAACTATAGTGAAACTGAATTATTACCTGGTTTAGTAATTTTCTGAAATTTCGTATTTTCAAACTACTTTTTAATACCTTCAAACTACATTTATGATCGTATATAACATGATGTCCTTAATCCAAAATTTGATGCCTAATTCTCTAATCATTTTGTTTCTCTTAGGACCTGACTGGTTTCCCCGCTATCACTCGCAAACGCAACTTTTATGATTGGTAACGATTGTTGACATTTTGCAATAATCATTCAAACCGCTCTGGACCACTTCAAACCACTCTAAATCTCTTAAATTCAGAAATTGGTTTCAACTATCGTTTGCGATTGAGGACGGTTGCGGGAAGGTGGTTCTTTAGAAAAAAACAATATAAAAATAAAAATAATTTTTTTTTAAATTGGAATTATAAAAATACTTAAATACCTTGTTAAAAAAATCGGGCAAGTTGGCGATTAAACGGGCGAGAAAACGTGAAACGGAGGGAGACCGTGGAGAAATGGGCCAATTCGGTTGGTTTCTACGTTGGGCCGCGTTAAGAACATTATAAGCGTAAAATTGTAAAAAACGCCCGATTAATTAGACAAAATCCGTAGTCCAAACTCGTGAATTTCCCATCAAAATCTTATTGGGCCCAAATTTGTGCACCTATTTGCCCAAAATATAATTATCCTTTTTCCCAGCTCTCTTCTCTTTTCTCTCTTCCCAACGTAATCTTTGTTTCTTCTTGTCTTTATTTTCAGTTTCACGTACATAACTATGAAGTTGTTACCACATCTACAACTTCCTTACAAGATCAAGCCATTATATTCTTTTGAAACATCGAAGAATAGAAGGATGGAAAGTGCAATCCCATAAATTCTTTTGGAGTATATTTAAAAAGTACAATTATTATTTTGTAATCTAATTTGGTATATATTTATAAATCTATGAATCTTAGTAACAGTGATGTCTTATATATAAATATGTATTATACATAAAAGTTTTGTATAATATTTATAAATTGGATGTTTATATATATAAAAATATAAAAAATTTCTCCCCTAGTACTCTCTGATTTTTTTCCGCGTTTTCAATAAATTGCTAGGCGCAGCTAGTCTGCACGCGTAGCGCCTAGCGAGTTTCCGAACAAAGCTAAAATATATCTATTATGTTTTAAATAATACTATTAAAAATTATAAATATTTTCAATAATTTTAAAAATTTAAAACTATAAATTTATAAGTATAATTTCTATACATATATTATAATATTATATTTTGGTATTTTTATAATTATATAAAATGTAAATAGTGTTAATTTATATTTTAACTGTTATTGCATTGGATAGTTAACCAGTTATAAGTATACCGCAAACGCACCAATTTGTAATCGCAGTATCAATCGTACAAATCTCTTAAAACACAAGGAACTGCAACCATCCACATACGCAAATTTCCACAACCGCAACCGCTGCGTTTGAATCAGTCATACCTTTAATTCACAAAATTTCTCTGTGGCTTAGTCATTAACAGAATAGCCTATTTTCTCACCCCATTTAGAAACATATATATATGCAAGAGGTTTATAAACATTTTTGTTATTAAACTTCACGTGCAAAAAGTTCAATAACAGATAAATTGACATTCAGTTATCAATTTTTTCTTCAAACTATGTTTATGATGATTTAATTATATTACACTGGTTTGAATAGCTGAATTGTTTTAGGTAATTATTTCAGCTCATAAATTGTTTTAACCAATTTCCAAAATAAAAGTGACCAGTTAGACATGCAAAACCAACAAGTTAAAAAAAAAAAAAAGTTGACATTACAGAGCATGAAAACCAGCACTTGTTTTTTTGCTAAGAATATAAATAAGAAATAAATCAACAATTTGACTATCCAATTTGCTACTAAAGTTTAAAATGAAACATATATACGGTTCTCTGCCTCCTACCAAGTTTGATCCTTTTGTCGGAAGGCATTAACCTATAAATCCAAAATTTCAGAACTTTTTCCACCGTACAAAATTTCAAACTTATAGATTTCTTACAATTGTATTTTCTGTCGAGATTTCTTACAGTTGTTGTGTTTTATTTTATTTGATTTGGACCCTACAGAGAATGTTTAATTCACACTAAGAAAATATAGTTTAGTGCATCCTTGTAGACTTGTTAATTAAATATAAGTGCCGTATCTCATCACGCTCAAATCTCTGTGTTAGATTTGATTCTATAGAAAAAATTCGTAAGAGGATTATTTATAAGAAACCCTCCAGTATGGCCCAATCTTAAACCAATTATATTCTAATTAGTTAATAATAATTAACGTATACACGTACAAATTTGCATACAAAATAATTAAAATTAATTTGTTATTGTCCAAATATTGACCTGGAAAATGCGAAGCAATCATGACAGAATATCTTGACACTCACCACTCACATTTCAAAATCCAATGTCTTTTCTCTGACATAAACCAGTGGAATGTTGATGGAAATGTTAACCTAATCAAACTATATTAGACTTTAGTACGACCGTTTTTTTGTATGTGCTATGAAAAAATTTACTTAGACTACAGTTCTATTAATAGATGCATATCCAACACTAATCATTTTACCTCCATTTTATTTTAAAAATAGTTTTAGGTTTGTGTACAGAATTTAAGAAAACACTTAATTTTATATTTTTGAAATAAAAATATTATTATCTATGTAAATAATTACATTGTCATCAATAAAAATAAACTATCTATTATAAAAAATAACATATCTTATAAAATTAATAAATTTTACATTAAAATTATTATATAATATTTATTTATGAAAATTTTAATTCGAGACTTAAACCGAAACGGTGGGAGTCCTGTATAAGTGTAAAACAAGAGTTGGTATTAATGATACGTAGAAGAAACTGAGGTAGATTGTGAGACAATACTAAGTTTACTAAGCGATGACCCATCATCATAGATAACACGTCTTTTTTTTTAAAACTTGCTAATAAGCTATTTTATCATATCATCATCATAATATAATGAGAGTATAAAAAAGAAAATGGTACCCTTATAGATAATAAATAGCTAACGAAGTTATCAAAAGAAAATAAAAGATAACAATTAATTAAAACCAGCCAAGCCACCGTTAAATTACAAATTTAAACATGAAAGAAGAAACCATTTTCTTAAAAAGAACTCTTTAGTAATTTGTCTAGAAGAAAAGTGGGAAAATAAAAAAGATAGAATTTGAAAAACCAAAATCCCCATATAGTGACAGTGGTGTACAAACATGTGATGACATAAACTTTAATATAGTAATATTATTTCTTTATTAGATATCTTAATCTAGACCAAAGGAGAGTTAAGTAAACCATTATTCCAAGATGAAACCAACCCATTCCAGCTTTCCCTTCCCGAATCAATCTCCAGTACACCTCCAGCAGAATTCCCGGTCATTTGCCATGGAAATCCCCATAAAGCCTTGCTTGAACTCTCTGAGACATTGTTGTTGTTGTTCACATTCTCTTGCTTTCTCTCGTTTCCCTCCAGAGAAATCCCCAAAGACGAAGTTGTTTTGCTTTCATTTTCATTTCCGGACATGAAACCATAACACAAACTACCATTGTTGAAATTACTGTTTTGCCCTCCAAAGTTCAACCCGTTTCCTAACACGCCAGAGTGTGTGTTTGTCGAGTTTCCATAATTAGGAACATCGCCTCCAAACCCAAAAGAAGGTGTAGCTTGAGAAGGAGAATGTTTATGAAGAGCAGCGAAAGCGAGGTTGATATCAATGGAGTCGTAACCAAAGGAAGATGGCATTCCCGTAATTAAAGGATTGTAAAGTGGATTATGGAAATTGATAGGTTTATTGATGTTCTTCGAGAAAGATGAAGAGGATCGTTTGTTTCGACGGCAACCACCTCCAACGGGGACGTTACGGAGAGTACCACCTTTAGTCCAATATCTCCGACAAGATTTGCAGAAGTAACGAGGTTGAGAGAGACTATAGTTGTTGTAGTAACAAAACTTTGTGTTTGAAGATTCACATCTTGGACACTTTTGAGCTTCACCTCCTAGTTCTCCTTTTCCTAGCTTCTTCTTCATTTCCTCTTCCATTTTTTTAATGCTTCCTTTTGTTGAGCTTACCAATATGGTTTCCAATGTCTCATTTGACATTTCCTGCACATTTTAAACAAATTTAATTAAGTGTTGCTGAAGAATGAGTAATGATAGTTTTCGTTGTATAACCGATTATGGAATGACGTGGCGCCGATTTTTATACCGAAAATATTTTTTAGAGCTTTTCGTCTATCAATTGCTAAAATAATTAGTTTTTGTTTTCTTTCAATGGGGTTTGAGATAAGTTTACGGTGATCAATCAATTAGCAAAGATGTAGGTCACGAATATTTTAAGTTGCTATGAGCAGAAGCTGCAAAAAATTCTATGATTTTGAAGTGTTTGATCTTTTGGGGATAGAAGAACAAAGGCATCTAATTTGTTTCCTTTTTAGCTAAAAATTACTATATACAAAAAGAGATAAGTCTTATGATTGGATGGTAGTTCAATAAATTACCTGTTGAGGATCCATAAATGCAACAAAAGATTGAAGAAACAGTTACTTAGTCTCCTTGTTAGTAACAATTAACAATTATGATCGTTATTTTACTCAGATTCTAAAAGAGCAAGGGAATGAGAGAGCGAGAGAATAAGAGTTTGCAGAAAAAAGTGGTGAGCAAGATATGAATAAACGAGAAGAGCACGGTTCTTAATATATAAAGTAAAACTGATAATGTGGGTCCGTTTAAAAAATATAGTTTTTCGGAACCTTAAAGAAATAATTCATATTTTCTGGAAAACATGTATATTTAACACCCAAAAAGGTGTGGAAATAACTACTCTTCCATTTTGTATTTTAAGGCCTAACTGGTAACAATGCAATGATTGCGGTTGCAGTTTCGGGCGTTTATGGATACGGAAGATTGCGGTTTTAAACGTTAACAAAAGATTTAGACGACTAGTTTAACGGTTAAAAATTATATTGTTTGCGAGATACTTATGACTGGTTAACTACCAAATACAACAGTGGTTAAATAATAAACTAACAATATTTATATTATATATAATTATAAAAATATTAAAATCATATTTTTATAATAAATATAAAAATGTACTATTGATAAACCTGTACTCTCAGAGCGATTTGGAACGGTTTATAGCATTTTTATGATTGTTATAAAACACCAAGAACCGCTACCAACCACAATAACTACGTTTGTGGGTGATGGCGGGGAAACCAGTCAGACCCTTAATCTAATACTCCTTTATTACTTGGACGGGACAACAGATAAATCAATTGAAATAAAAAGATAATGTTTTATATTAACATTATTAAATTTCTAATAAATAAACACATAATTTTTTATATTAACATATTAAATTTCCAGAACTTTAAGAGCATTTTAAATTTCTAAAAAAATTGAAGGTTAAAGTTCATTAACTAAAATCGACCAAGCTATTGAATATTTTACACACTAATCACTTTAATGTTACTGCTCTTTGATTATATATTACTCCATTTGTTTCAATATAATGTATATTTTAGACTTTTCACACATATTAATAAAACATGTAATAAACCCATAATTTTTTTGTCATATTTTTTTAATAATTCTAAACCAATAAAAAATCCAATAAGTACAATTAAAATTTTGGAGTTTGCAATTCATCATTGTTATTTGTTAAAATATGCATTAAAATACAAAAAAAAAAATATTATTTTGAAATATTTATCTTATAAAACATGTAACTAAATAAAACAGAGGGAGTAGCATTTACGGTTAAATTTTTAGATTTTAGAGTTTATGGTTTATATTTTAGAATTAAAGATTTATGTTATATTTATATTATGGGTTTTGCAGATTTTAATATTTTGAGATGATAAAAATAAAAATGTAAATATCTATACTTTACCAAATTTCTAGTAGTCATAACATACTGTTCAAAATTTTATATTGCTACATAAAATAAGCTAACTTCTTTTCTATGAATTTTAGTTTTACAAAAAAAAAATCCAAAGATGTCACACAATAGATCTAAAAGAAATTCCTAAGGATGCAAGTCATAAGAGATTTGTTTACCAAAAAATAGACAAAAAAGAAAAAGAAGGATGAAAACCTTGATAATAAAAGTATATTAAGAAAAATAAATTAAAACACTGGTGAATGAATCACAGCCCTGAGATTAAACTCAAGAATATAAGATGGATCGATGAGAATTAAAATACATTGTGAACAAGTAGAAGGATATAAATAGATTTAAGATCTTCTATAACTTTTATTCCAACTGACAAGATAAGCTAAACATTCCTTCACTTTTTAAATAAAATTAATGAAAATGTAAAAGTGTAATTAAGAAATACCAAGAATAGTATTAATGCTCATATATAGTATATTTTATCACTTAGATGAATACAATTTTCGAAGGAAAATTATGTTTTTTTTAAGAGAAATATGTATTAAATAAAAATTTATTTTGAATCTGTTATAAATTTGAGTTTAAAAAGTGTAAAATAATTCATTCACATAATAATATATAAAACTTAAATGAATATTTGTTTTGATCGCTTTTTGCTCTTTTATTTTTTAGGTTTTAATTCGTGTGTGATCCCAATATGTACAGAGTTCATATATCTTGAATGTAACTTTCTTACTTTTGTCAGCCATTTGGTTATTAATGTTAATTTGGTCTATAAAGTTTATGTATGATAGATAAAATAGAAAGTAAGTTAGAGTAATTAAAGTGAAGAAACTATGAGAGAGAAAAATTATACCTAGAGTAAAATAGCGAAAAAGAGAAAATGAATAGACGAAAAAAGAAAGAAAGAGAGAACGTGACTGTTTACTCTCATTTAACTGGTGAGAAATTTTGTATTACTGTATTCAGCTAAATCTAGCTGAAAAATACTATCACCATATTCAGCTTGATTGGTAAAAAGTTGAGCAGAATATATAGTAAAATAAACTTACTTGAAATGTTTACTCTATAATGTCTATCCAATTATACTTTTACTGTCTATCCAATTTTACTTCTACTGTCTATCCAATCATATTCTTAGTGTTCAACTAATGGGAAGATTGTTATAGGTAAAAACATCTAGGATGATAAAGAAAGCTGCTGATCACATTGGTATGCATTTTAGTATAAGATTTTAAAAAGTCAGTGAAATGGGCCAACCTTTGTTTCTTTGACTGGTCAAACCAGTTTGATTGTAATCAAAACATTTTGCTCATTTTGTCAAAAGAAAACAGTAAAATGGTTTAAAAGAACAACTTGGGTGATATTTGGAAGAATGGGCCACTCAGTGTTCTCTGAAGTGGGGAAGCAGTTTGTGCGAAGAAAAGAATCTTCACCGTATATAACGAAAGTGACAATGATATGATGTTTGTGTTTGTGTGCAAATAATGCGGAGGAATCTCTATGCGTAGATAAGGAAAACAAACAATGCCATCATTATGTTTTTTTCTTTACTTGTTTTATTTGATGGTTGATTTGGACACTAGTTTGGTACGTGAAAGGGTTTTGTATCATTGGGAACACATGATCTAAACATTTCGTTTAGCATTTTTATTAGCTAAAGTAGAAATATAATAATTATCTTATCTACCTTTTTGGTCATTGTTTATTTAACAATTAAGTCACACTTTTATCTTTGTGGAATCGGTCTATGATATGAGAATGGAATTTCCCAAAATAATTAGAGATTAATTAAAGTTAAAATGATTCATGGAGTTCTTAATATTTTAGATACTCATCCAAGAAATGGATGTGTTCTTATAGTAGAGTTTGTCGATGGAGAATATGAGCAATATATTTCACGTAAGGAAGAAGAAAAGACAAGTAAAACTGGTGGGAACCACATAGGTGCCTGAAAATTCCGAAGGGGTCCCCAGAGAGAGATGAGGACATTTGAATGGAACAGCCTTAGACCGATCAAACAGTCGGTCCGGTGTGGTTTCTATTACGACAAATATCGGTAGATCTCACATGTGGCATCATCTCATTACCTTCTACCGACACTCGAATCTGCTTTTCAGACTTACGAGGAAAGTAACTAATGTAATTCCAAAAAAAAAAAAAAAAAAAACTAATGTAATTCCCAATTAGTGTGGTTATAATTATAATGCATATTTCCAAACTTTTTTGTTAATGTAAATCCACATCAATGAATTCTTGTGAACCCCTCATTTTCATTATTCTATTATTATTATTTTTTTCGTTTAACTTAAAAAAAAAATCTGGACCAATCAATTATTGACACGTGGTGAACATAGGTTCATAGGGTTTATCGCAGTAAACTTTTGAGAGAGAAGTTCATAAAACTTGATTATTTTATTAATATTTTTTCGGTTTGTGTGTGAACCTCTCCCCAACATCCTTTGATGGGGATGCTCTTATACTGCGGACAATTAGAACGAACAATATATAAAAGCTATAATAAATACTAGATCAAGTAATGAATATTATAAAAATTTTAAAATATTTAATTTTAAATTGGTTTGATGAAAACATAAAATAATAACATAATAATATTTAAACCCTCTTAGCTAAATATAAGTTATATTATCATAAATTTAATATTATTATATATATATTTTCTATACAATATATAAAAGACATTTTCAATCAATTTCATCTCTAATTATTATTTTATTATAATATTTAATATTATTTTACCAAACAACAAAAAATTACATTATTATTTTATGTTTCGTATTTAACATACATAAAATATGTCCATATCTAATTTAAATAGCTGGAATTAAAAATCCAAATGAAAATATAATATTATTCATTTTTGTTGTAATATTATTTATTTTATAATATAAAATTTACTTTAAAACCATGTCTTTTTATTTTGATTATTTATAAAAGCGTAATTCAAACGATATGTTATTCAATCTATAAATTTACTAATAAATTTGATTTTGAAGATTGTTTTGTTAAAAATACAAAGATTGCAATCTGTTTAGTTGAACTGTTTAGCATCTCATTTTTGGGGTTTTTAGATTTATGAAGGTTCAAACATATTAAAATACTATATTAGATTTTGTATCTTTTGATCAAAAAAAAGATTTTGTATCTAAATGCGTTTTTTTCTTTCAACATGAGAAAAACTACTACATTAATCTTATCATTTTGTTTGTATTAATGCATCTAATCTCTTTGACATTGTTTGAAAAAATGATTTGTCACGCGCCATCATCATATTAATTGTAAATCATCATATTAATTTTAAAAAATTAATGATGCTGTAAAATAACAATAATGACATAGCTTGAACCTAATTGTGACACGGATATCTGCTATACATTATTGGAGAAATGATTTATCACATGTTATCACCACATTGATTTTGAATAATTAATGATTACTTGGCATAATAACAATAATATCATAGTTCGAATTTAATTGTGACATGAATATTTACATTAACTATTGTTTTATATTTTTTGTATTTTTAAAGATATTTAGTGATAACTCATAAATCATTTTTGATAAAACTATAATATTTCAAATTTTTAAATATTA